TTAAAATTATATAAGTTATAATTTAATATAGGCTTGGTAGGTTGTTACTGAACCTTTCTGTAGGGGGTACAAACCCCTCCTTGTACTCCCCTCTCTTCCTAATCCAACCACCTTTCTTCTCGACATCCTCTCACCTCCTAGATCCATTTTTCCTCACGCCATTCCATGGCGGTCTTCTTCCTAGTATCCTAGCCAACCTAGCCTCCTAAGTTTAAGAACCTTTAGTCCTAAGTTTCTAAGACATGTGTAGTTATCATGTTTGTATAGACTGTATAGGGTCACCTTCTAGAGAGTACAACATTTAGGTATATGTTTGTGTACTCTCTCTCTCATATTATTAAATTCTAGGTTTGATATGGTATCACGAGTAGGTTTCGACCCCCCCCCCCCCCCCCCCCCCCCACCTACCGCTTCCGCTCCTCCCGTCGCGTCTCCTAGCCTCGCCTCGCCCCTCCTGAGCCCAGTCGTAACGCCCCTCCAGGCCCCCGTCGCGCCCCTCCAGGGCTCTGTAGCGCCCCTCCAGGGCCCCGTCGCGCCCCCTAGCGCCCCTCCTGGGCCCCGTAGCGCCCCTCCAGGGCCCCGTCGCGCCCCTTCGCGCCCCTCCTGGGCCCCGTCGCGCTCCTCACAGGCCCCGTAGCGCCCCGTAGCGCCCCTCCTGGGCCTCGTCGCGCCCCTCCTGGGCTTCGTAGCGCCCCTCCTGGGCTTCGTAACGCCCCTCCCAGGCCCCGTCGCGCCCCTCCTGGGCTCCGTAGCGCCCCTACTGGGACCCGTCGCGCCCTCCCTGGGCCCTGTAGCGCCCCTCCTGGGCCCCGTCGTGCCCCTCCCAGGCCCCGTCGCGCCCCTCCTAGGCCCGTAGTGCCCCTCCTGGGCCCGTAGCGCCCCTCCTGGGCCCCCCATTGCGCCCCTCCTGGGCCCCGCCGCGCCCCTCCTGGGCCCCCATTGCGCCCCTCCTGGGCCCGTAGCGCCCCTCCTGGGCCTGTTGCGCCCCTCCTGGGCCCTGCCGCGCTCCTCCCTGGGCCCCGTATCCACCCTCCTGGGCCCCGTCGCCCCTGCTCGGCCCCGTCGCCCCTGCTCGCCGCCGCCGCCGCCGCCGTCGTCGCTGCCGCTGTTTGTGGACTCTGGGGGTGCTGGAGTTGAGGTGGGTACTCGTCCCGGGGCTCCTGTCGTGGCTTGTCCCCGCGGGCCTGGGGGTGGTACCGGTGCTGGCGGTGTTTCGGGCTCTGGGGGTGTCCCTTCTGGGGGTGCCGGTGTGGAGGGTTCGGGAGGTCGCCGTCGCGCAGCTTGTGGCCCTGGCGTTGGTGTTGTGTCGCCGCAGCAGCAGTCCCCGCCGGTGTCCGCCCTCCGTCTGCTCGGCCTTCCGTCCCCTGACCCTGCGCCTGTTCCTCTCCGGCCGTCTCCCCCTCTTCCCGTCTACGGCCCCGTGTTCCCTCCGCCGGACTCGTCCCCGGCTCGTTTTCCCCCTCGTTCCCCACCCGTGTCCCCTCCTCTGTCTCCCGACCCGACGCCGCCCTCTCACGTCTGGTCTCGCCGCCCCTCCCGTGCTCGTCCTGTCTCCCCCGTCCCGCGCACTCACCCTATGTTGCTCCGCTCCCACGCGTCTCGTCCTCCCTCCTCCCGTCTCCTCCTCCGTCCTCTCTTGTCGTTGCGTCTCCTCCTCTGTCTGACTACTTTCGTGCCGCTCGTCCTCTTGTTCCTCGGGTCCTTGCCTCTCTCGTTACCGACCCGTCTGTTCCAGTGTCGAGTCTTGACGCCCTTGTCGCTGCGGTCGCTGACTTCGCCTCTACCCGCCGCCTTGACTACGCCTCCGCTCTGGTCTCTGACCCTGCCTGTCCTCCGTCTGTCGGGGGTGCTCCTGCCCTCGGCAGTGACGTCCTGGAGGACCGCCAGTTTGAGCTTGCTTTCCTGTCCGAGGCTGCTCCCCATCTCTGTTCCATGCTGCTAGTCCCTGAGGGTGACCCAGACGCTTTTGACATCCCGACCCCTCGTACTTACGCTGAGGCGGTTTCGGGACCTTGGGCCTCTCAGTGGATAGCTGCCATGGAGCAGGAGATGGCATCTTGGAGATCCACCGGCACCTTCGTCGACGCAGTTCCCCCACCTGGGGTGAACGTGGTCGATGGCCGTTGGCTCTTCAAGGTGAAGCGCCCTCCTGGAGAGCCGCCTGTGTTCAAGGCGCGTTACGTGGCTAGAGGCTTCAGTCAGCGCGAGGGGGTGGACTTCTTTCAGACTTTCGCTCCTACCCCGAAGATGACTACTCTTCGGGTTCTGCTACACGTAGCGGCTCAGCGTGACTACGAGCTTCACTCCCTCGACTTCTCCACTGCCTTTCTTCAGGGCAGCCTTCACGAGCAGGTCTACCTGCGTCGTCCTCAGGGCTTTACTGGCACCTTCCCCCCTGGGACCCAGTGGCTTCTGCGGCGCCCAGTCTACGGCCTGCGCCAGGCGCCTCGTGAGTGGCACGACACGCTGCGTGCTACTCTTGCTGACCTGCAGTTCTTTCCGTCCTCTGCAGACCCCTCGCTCTTCGTTCGTGCTGGCTCGACTCCGTTCTACATCCTCGTCTACGTAGACGACCTGGTCTTTGCCACAGCTGACAGGGACGCACTGGCCTCCGTGAAGGCAGAGCTGCTGAAGAGACACACCTGCACTGACCTTGGAGAGCTACGCCGTTACCTTGGCTTGCAGATCTCCAGGGACAGAGCCGCCCGCACCATCACCCTGACTCAGTCACACTTGGTGCGCCAGGTCCTTCAGAGGTTCGGCCTTCAGTTCTCCTCCGCACAGCCCACCCCTCTTCCTCTGGACCACAGACTCTCCGCTCCAGTTCCTGAGGAGTCGGTAGATCCCAGTGGTCCTTACGCTGAGCTAGTGGGTTGCCTCATGTACCTGATGACTTGCACTCGCCCAGATCTCGCATACCCTCTCAGCATCCTGGCTCGTTTTGTGGCCACAGGCAGACACCGACCTCAGCACTGGTCTGCCGCTAAGAGGGTTTTGCGTTATCTTGCAAGTACATCGGGCATGGGGTTAGTGCTAGGCGGACGCAGGCCAGTGGTCCTTACTGGACACACAGACGCTTCTTGGGCAGACGACGCCGAGACGCTCAGGTCTTCCCAGGGCTACTGCTTTAGCCTTGGCTCAGGTGCTGTCTCGTGGAGAGCTACCCGCTCCTAGTCGGTTGCCCAGTCCAGCTGTGAGGCTGAGATCTACGCCGGTGCCATGGCGGCACAGGAGCTCCGCTGGCTGATCTTCTTGCTCACTGACTTAGGTGAGCGGCCTAGCTCTGCCCCGGTCCTGTACGCTGACAATAGGGCCATGATTCTCCTGTGTCAGGAGCCTCGACTCGAGGGCAGAGCGAAGCACATCCAGCTGCGGTACTTCCTCCTGCGCGAGCTACAGCAGCGGCGCCAGGCTCGCGTAGTACACTTGGCCTCCGGTGCCAACACAGCTGATATCTTTACGAAGGCGCTTGCGCCTAAAGATCATCAGCGGCACTGTTTACAGCTTGGTCTGGTTCCTGTAGTCTCTCACTTAATCGGGCCTTGACTTTGTACTGTCGTATATATATATATGTATACACTCAGACTGGACTTGTGTCCTCTCACAGTGGTTGGACTAGTAGTGCCGCCCTGTACTCGTTCTTGCCTTGTTTGTACTCCTTCTGACTGGTCTTTTAGACCCTTGTCTCAGAGGCTGGACTAGTAGTGCCACCCTGAGCTACTTGTCTAGAACATTCCCCTATGCAGTCCAGGGGGTGTGTCAAACATGTGTAGTTATCATGTTTGTATAGACTGTATAGGGTCACCTTCTAGAGAGTACAACATTTAGGTATATGTTTGTGTACTCTCTCTCTCATATTATTAAATTCTAGGTTTGATATTTTGACCGTCAAATCGCAACAGAATCCGCGACATCGACGGTCAAAATCCTCCCAAGTCTCGACCTTTGCTGACGTTTCGATTTCGCGCTCCAACTTGGGTTGATGTTTCTGCCCATTTTTTCGCTGCTAATGGTAGTTGACATTGCGTTTTTCATCGTGTTCATTTTTTTTTTCATTCGAGCTGAGCTTGAAAAACTACGAAATACCGTTCTTTGCTGCATAAAACGAGGAGGGTGTTATGTAAAATGCAACCCCCGAAAAGCGGGTGCTCTCCTAAGTGCACCCTATCATAAGCTCTGCCCCGCATAAACCACCCACGGAGTGACTATTCCGGCGGGTGTTATATACGGGGGATTATGGTACAAGGCATAATGTGTTATGCGTGGCTACGTCCAGCACCATGGCATCGACTTCGACCTCACCTTTGCTCTGGTCAGCCGCCACACATCAGTCCGCATCTTACTTGCTGTTGTCGCCACCAAGCACCTCGAGTTGCGCTAGATTGATGTAAATGCGTTCCTCTATGCCAAAGTGGACACACTCATCTAATTCGAGCAGCCGCACACCTACGAGGACGACGACTCACGTATGTGTCAACTCTATGAACCCCTCTACAGGATCCAGTTGGTGCTGCGACTCTCGCAGCAGCATCTCCAGGGCAGCCTCATCAGTGTCAAGATACATGCTGAGTTTGCCCTGCTCCTCGGGGAAGGGTCACAGGTGCAGAGCCTGGGGGTTATGGGCACACTCACCTGTTACTTAATAAGCCCCTTAACTCAGTGGTTAGTGACTGAGTTCTGGTAATCAGCATCAGCTTCACACTGTTGGGGGCCATCTTTCGGTGGGAAGGCTAAGGCATTACGATTGACATCCAGCCAAGGAGGCTAGTGGTGGCATTTTCGCAAGGTGCCATGCAGAAGTGAGTAGTACGTCTCCTATCTTATTGCTTCGTTTCAAACCAGACAATTGGGATAGACGGGTCCTAAAATGCAAATGGCTTCAAGAAGTGTACTCCGTCCTAACGAGTCACGACTCACGAGCCGATAAGAGCCCCCCCGCAGCCATGCACATCCCTCCCACTACAGTACCTATTCATACACACCCAAGACCCCAAAGGCCCAAGCCGAGGGAGGATGAGAGGGCGAGCACAGCGTACTCTGCTCCGCAGATTCCAATATGGCTTCCACCGCGTACCATCGCCACCGCGCCGCCTTCTCCACGTGCTTCGACCCTCCTCCCCTCCCCTCCGCGCCTCTCGTCCTCTACCCCAAGCCAGCCCCGTCTGCGTCCTCTCGCCCTCTCCACGCTCTCAGATGTCGCGCCGCCTGCGTCGCCGTCGCTGCGAGCGCCGCCGTCGTGCTCCTCCTCACGGCGCTCTGTCTCCTCCGCGCCTCCGCCGCCCCGCCCGCCGCACCTCTCGCGCTCCTTGCGCCCCCGGACGAGTCGAGCTCAGGTGAATCCGCTCTGCGGTTCTTCGTGTACCGGCTGATCGGCAACGACATGCCGCCGCTGCAGTGCGACGGGCAGCTGTACCTCAACACGCTCTACACGCTGCAGCACGAGCCGCGCGAGCTGCCGGGTGTGCGGCGCATGTGGGTGCTGAACAACGTGCTGAACGCCACGGAGCAGCAGCGCATCGTGGACGCCATCCTCGCGCACGGGTACTCCGATGAGGTGAGAGGCTGTGTCGCCGTGCCATCTGCTCGTGCCATGGCATATGACCGCGACCGCAGCCTTTGACGTGCTGTTTGGGCTTGTGCGTGGGGTGGGGCCCACATCCCTTTGCCTGCTCCGTTGCACTCTCGTTTCCTTGCGTGTACCGCCCCCCCTCCTCTCCCCCCCCCTCCTCCTCTCCCCCCCCCCTCCTCCTCTCCCCCCCCCTCCTCCTCTCCCCCCCCCCTCCTCCCTCCCCCCCCCTCCTCCACTCCCCCGACCCCCCGCCTGCTGCTGCCGCAGTGCAAAACGCGTGGCCGTGTGCGTGTGTGCTGTGCGTTGCGCGCAGCACATCATCTACGTGCGCCTCAACTACACGCGCCTCGCCGCCATGCCGGAGAACCGCTGGGCGTTTGCCGTCACAGGTACACGCGCCACGCCTTACAGCGAGGACTGCACTTTTTGTAGGGTGTCGGGCTGGGTTGTGCGTGATGCTGGCTGCGGCACGTCCTACTGATAGGGTGGGAGGGAGGGGGTGCCAGGGGCTTAGTGGTTGGAGCCATGAGGCGGCTCACTATGAATATGGTGGTGCTACGAGCAGGCACGTGTGTCCACTGCCACAGCAGGTCTCGCTTCAGTTGGGTTTCAACGAGAATGATTCACGACTGCAGCGTAGCTCTTCTTCTGACTGCTCCTTTGGCAACCCCATTCACTTGCCCGTGCCCCTCGCCTCTTTGCCCGTCTAAAGCATGTGCCGTTCTGTCCTCTATCCTCTTTACCTGTGCCCCATAACACGTGCCGCATGCCCATTCCATGGCCTGGCCCCATGCCGCCTGCTGCTGCGGCGTGCGTGCGTGCGGCCGCTGTGCTTAACAGGGCTGAACGAGGCGCGCAACATGATGATCGAGCACGGCATAGCGGCGGGCGCGCGGTGGATCATGCCCATGGACGGCAACCACTTCCTCACCCGCCAGGGCTGGGCCTACACTGCTGCTGCCGCCGACCGCCACGAGGCCCACGGCAAGACTGTGTTCAAGGTGCGGGCAGCGGGGGAGTCTGAAACTGCATGGGGGTTGTGGTTTATTCCACTCGGGTTGGGTTTGCTGGTGACACATCGTTTGTCTTCAAGTACTCGCCTGTCCCACTCTTGGCTCAAGCTCCCCTTGCTGTTCCACGTGCGTGTCTCTCATTGCATGCTGCCCCAATGACCCCCCGTGCGTGTGTGCATGTGCCCACCAGATGCCCCGAGTGAAGGTGGACGCCCCTCAGAGTCCGGACTGGATCAATGGCAGCACGCTCTACTCGGACCTCTTCCCACACGCACCTGCCATGCACGAGGGCATGATTGCCTTCCGCAACGATTCACCGCATCGCTACCAGCCAGGTCTCGTGTTCTCACTGTCCCCTTGTTCTTCAAGTTGTGTCCTTTGCGAGTGAAGCTGGTGTGCTTGCCTCCCTTCCAGTCACTAGTTTCTGTGTGTTGCTGTAGCGATGCCAATGCCTCTGTGAAGCTAATGATGTATGGCCGAGTATGTCACTCTCCGTGTTTCAATTCAACAGTGTAAATCCCTTGCTGTCACCCTGAGTGTTACTGCAGGGCTGGGCTTTGCGCGACGGTGCAAGCTGGAGGCGTTTGACCGCATCTGCGGCACGGGCAAGTACTGTTCGTGGCTGCACGCCGCGCATCGCCTGGGCCTTGACCGCTTGCTCTACCCAGACTTCACCCCGCAGCTCGCAGACACAGGCGAATGCGGGTGCCAGAGGGAGATGGGCAGCGAGGAGAAGATTCGCCCCATGCGCACGTCAGTGCTGCAGTCATGCGGGGTGTCGGTCCGCCTGTGGTACTACCCATGCCCAGAGGTGGATGCGCAGAGGATGATGCACGACGGGTGGTACCGCTTCAAGCAGCGCCAGAAGGCCCTCGTCATTCTGCTGGCCCGCATTCGCGAACGGATAAAGCAAGAAACGGTATAGGAGCTGGAGCAGATGCAAAAATCTTCACCTGGGAATGCAACGTGGCTTCATCTGAGCTTTGCTTTTTGTCAGGCCTCCCGTTGCTCCAGTTGGTCGGCAGCCAATCTTCAGCTGGGTATGTTCCAGCTATACTGGCTTCCCCAACGCTGGTGAGAGAACCCCTTCAAAGCCCACGGCCCAAATTGCAGGCCCTGGGTGTCAGACACACTGTGTTTGAAGGGGCAGTGGGAAGGGTTATTACCGTATTCTCCCGGATACATTACCCTAGGGAGCTAATACAAATTCATGAAAATTTTGGGGTGGGTGGAATTAAAGGCAAAAATATATTTAACACCATGGTTCTATGGAACGTGCATATGGGTTTTCCAATTGCAAAATGTTTCTGCTTGCTACTCTACTTTGTACTGAGTCAGAAATCAACATTCCGTGGGCTGATTTTATCAGACTATTATCAAAGTGAACTGAATGATGAGTAGAGAGAGAGTACAGGTGAATATACCTAAGTGATGTACCCTCTCAGAGGTGGCCCTATACAGTCTATGTAAACATAGGAGATACACATGTTTGACACACCCTCTAGACTGCATAGGGGCAGGTCCTGAACAAGCAGCTCAGGGCGGCACTACTAGTCCAGCCTCAGAGCCAAGGGTCTAAAAGACCAGTTAGAAGGAGTACAGACAAGGCAAGAACAAGACCAGGGCGGCACTACTAGTCCAGCCACTGGGAGAGGACACAAGTCCAGTCTGAGTACACATATAAAGGACAGTACAAAGTCAAGACCCTAGCAAGTGAGAGGCTACAGGAACTAGACCAAGCTGTGCACAGTGCCGCTGATGATCTTTCGGCGCAAGCGCCTTCGTAAAGATATCAGCTGTATTGGCACCTGAGGCCAAGTGTACTACGCGAGCCTGGCGTCGCTGCTGTAGCTCGCGCAGGAGGAAGTACCGCAGCTGAATATGCTTCACTCTGCCCTCGAGTCGAGGCTCCTGACACTGGAGGATCATGGCCCTGTTGTCAGCGAACAGGACCGGGGCAGAGCTAGGCCGCTCACCTAAGTCAGTGAGCAAGAAGGTCAGCCAGCAGAGCTCCTGTGCCGCCATGGCACCAGCGTAGATCTCGGCCTCACAGCTGGACTGGTCAACAGACGAGGAGCGGGTAGCTCTCCACGAGACGGCACCTGAACCAAGGCTGAAGCAGTAGCCCTGGGTAGACCTGAGTGTCTCGGCGTCGTCTGCCCAAGAAGCGTCTGTGTGTCCAGTAAGGACCACTGGCCCACGTCCTCCTACCACTAACCCCATGCCTGATGTACTAGCAAGATAATGCAAAACCCTCTTAGCGGCAGACCAGTGCTGCGGTCGGTGTCTGCCTGTGGCCACAAAGCGATCCAGGATGCTGAGAGGGTATGCGAGATCTGGGCGAGTGCAAGTCATCAGGTAGATGAGGCAACCCACCAGCTCTGCGTAGGGGCCGCTTGGCTCTACCGACTCCTCAGAAACTGGAGTAGAGAGTCTGTAGTCTACAAGCAGAGGGGTGGGCTATGCAGAGGAGAACTGAAGACCGAACCTCTGAAGGACCTGGCGCACCAAGTGTGACTGAGTCAGGGTGATGGTGCGCGCTGCTCTGTCCCTGGAGATCTGCAAGCCAAGGTAACGGCGCAGTTCTCCAAGGTCAGTGCACGTGTGTCTCTTCAGCAGCTCTGCCTTCACTGAGGCCAGTGCGTCCTTGTCTGCTGTGGCAAAGACCAGGTCGTCGACGTAAGCAAGGATGTAGAACGGAGTCTGGCCAGCACGAACGAAGAGTGAGGGGTCTGCGGAAGACGGAAGGAACTGCAGGTCAGCAAGGGTAGCACACAGCGTGTCGTGCCACTCACGGGGAGCCTGGCGAAGGCCGTAGACGGGGCACCGCCGGAGCCACTGGGTCCCAGGAGGGAAGGTGCCAGTAAAGCCCTGAGGGTGACGCAAGTAGACCTGCTCGTGTAGGCTGCCCTGAAGGAAGGCAGTGGAGAAGTCGAGGGAGTGAAGCTCGTAGTCACGCTGAGCAGCTAGGTGTAACAGATCCCAAAGAGTAGTCATCTTCGGGGTCGGAGCGAAGGTCTGGAAGAAATCCACCCCCTCACGCTGTCTGCAGCCTCTAGCCACGTAGCGCGCCTTGAACACAGGCGGCTCTCCAGGAGGGCGCTTCACCTTGAAGAGCCAGCGGCCATCGACTACGTTCACCCCAGGCGGGGGAACTGCGTCGACAAAGGTGCCGGTGGATCTCCAAGATGCCATCTCCTGCTCCATGGCAGCTATCCACTGAGAGGCCCAATGTCCCGAGGTCGCGTCAGCGTGAGTGCGAGGGGTCGGGATGTCGAAAGCGTCTGGGTCACCCTCAGGGACTAGCAGCATGGAACAGAGATGGGGAGCAGCCTCGGACAGGAAAGCAAGCTCGAACAAGCGGTCCTCCAGGACGTCACTGCCGAGGGCAGGAGCACCCCCGACAGACGGAGGACAGGCAGGGTCAGAGACCAGAGCAGTGGCGTAGTCAAGGCGGCGGGTAGAGGCGAAGTCAGCGACCGCAGCTACCAGAGCGTCAAGGCACGAGACAGGAACAGACGGGTCGGTAACGAGAGAGGGAAGGATCCGAGGAACAAGAGGACGAGCGGCACGAAGGTAGTCAGATAGAGGGGGGGGTGCAACAACAAGGGAGGACGGAGGAGGCGACGGGAGAAGGGGAGGACGAGACGCGTGGGAACGAAGCAACATAGGGTGGGAGCGCAAGACAGGGGAGGCAGGACGAGCACGGGAGGGACGGTGAGACCAGACGTGAGACGGAGGAGTCGGGTCAGGAGACAGGGGAGGGGACACAGGGGGGGAACGAGGGGGAAGACGAGCCGGGGACGAGTCAGGCGGAGGGAACACAGGGCCGTACACGGGAAGAGGAGGAGACGGTCGGAGAGGAACAGACGCAGGGTCAGGGGACGGAAGGCCGAGCAGGCGAAGGGCTGACACCGGCGGGGACTGCTACTGCAGCGGCACAACACCAATACCGAGACCGCAAGCTGCTCCTCGGCTACCACCGGCACACTCCACGCCAGCGACCCTAGAGGGAACACCTCAAGGGCCCAAAACCCCTCGAGGACCGGTACCACCGCCAGGGGTACTGGGACTAGCACGCACTCCAACGCCAGCACCCCCAGAGTCAACGAACGCGTGCTGCGACGGCGGCGGCGGCGGCAGCGACAACGACGGCGGCGGCGGCGGCGGAGGCGGTGGAGGAAAGGACGCTTGGGGAGGGGCAGCTGGCGAGGACTGCGCCGTAGGACCACCAGAGTCAGAAGACTCCTCAACCGGGACCACCGACGGAAGAGGGGTGACGTGGTACACACCAGAGGGGGCAGGACGGGGAGGAGGAGGGGGAGGGGCAGGGCCTACCGGGGAAGGAGTGACCAGGAACAGGGGGGGGGTAACCGGGGGACCGTGGTGGGGGAAGCGACGGTAGTAGGAGACGGACTCGTGAAAGGTGACGTCGCGAGAGTGAAAGAACCGATGAGACGGCGGGTGGTAGAAGTGCCAGTCGGACGCGTCAAGGGGAAAACCGAGGAAGACGCAGGGAAGGGTGCGGGCACGGACGTGAGCAAGGCAGCCCCAGACGTGGAACGCAGACGCGTCATCAGGAGACCCAGTCCAAAGACGGGTCGGCGAAACCTGCGGCTGCTGGGGGTGCGGCCACAGGTTAAGTTGGTGAGAAGCGTAGCGCACAGCGAACGGCCACAGAAAATGGGGTGCACCGGCATGGATCATGGAGGTGCGAGCCACCTCCATGACCAAACCGATGCGTCGCTTAGCGACCCCATTCTGAGGTGGGGAGTCCGGTAGGGTGAACGTCTCGGTGATGCCCTCCGCACGACAAAAGCGACCAAGGACACCTGAGGCAAACTCGCCACCACGGTCGCAGTGAAGGCGCAAGACAGGGAGACCTCGGTGCACATGGGCAGAGACAAGCCAGGGGATGAGAGCGGCAGGCACGTCGGCCTTCCGCTCCAGGGGAAAGACCGAGGTGTAGCGAGTGAAGTCGTCGACAAGCACAAGGAAGTAGCGCTCTCGACGCGGCCCATGGACGCGGGCGGGGCCCCAGACGTCCATGTGGAGGGTCTGCAGCGGCGCGGCGGTAGGGGGAAACGAGGAGGAGTGAGGGGCACGGCGAAGCCGACCCTCGACGCAAGGCGTGCAAGGTGGGGCTGGGGAGGAGGGAAAAGCGGGGAGAGAACCAGGGAGACCAAGGACGAGACCGTGCTGGGACATGTGATGCAGACGCGGGAGCGCAGGGTGACCTAGGCGGTGGTGCCAAAGGAGAGTCGGGTGAGTGAGGGACCGACAGGAGCAGGCAGCAGCAACCTGGATAGACGCAGCCACCTGAGGGGGCGCCACAGCCGGGGGGGTCACGGTGTCCAGAGTGAACAGGCCAGACACTGGGTCCAGGGGGAATGTGGACAGGGGGGCACAAGTGGCGGCCTCGGTACAGACAGCATACCGCTCGTGACCAGGGAACGTAGTGGTGACGCCAAGGTCCTGGAGGCAGCCGACACCAACTAGGTTCCTGGAGAACGAGGGGATATGCAGACCTGTAAGAGAGCCCGAAGGAACCACCGGACAGGGAAGGGTGGTGGAACTGCGGGCGACTATCGGACCGCTGAAGGGGTCAGCAAGAGAAACGGCAGCAGGAACAGGAAGCGGCGTCAGTGTAGTAGAGTCACGGAAGAAGCACCGGGAAGCGCCAGAGTCCAAGGTGAAGGAAAGCGAAGCAGTGGCGTCCGGCGACGGGGCGACGGCGGAAGCACCAAGGCTAAACAAATCAGGGGATCCTACGCCTGACGCAGCAGGGGAGGCTAAGCTAGGCACACCTACACTAGACGACAATGAGTAATAAGCGGGAAGCGCACTAGAGTCATCAGCATACATCACACGCAGAGCAGAAACAATGGCATCCATGTCCATGTCAAAAATCTGAATCCTACGACTAAGCAAACTGTGCCAGTCCGGAAGGTCTGGCGACGGGCCGAAGCGCTGACGAAAGAGGTCGTCCAGGCGACGAAAACAGCGGGGAGTGGTATGACCGAGCTTACCGCAAACGAAGCCGCGGCGAGGACCGGCCTGGATCTAGTACTGACAACGCACGCCTCCTGAACCACCACTCGGCACACCACCACGCGCCCGACCACCTCCAGCGCCAGGCCACCCAGGGAAGGAGGACACTCGCCTGCCTCGTCTGCGGCGGCTGCTGCGACTGCTGCGACTGCTGCGGCTGCTGCTGCTGCTGCTGCTGTGACTACGGAGGCGGCGGCTCAGCTGGACTGGGCAG